CGCTTGTTGTGCCTCAGCTTCCAGAGCTTTCTTCCAGATGTTGCAGGCAAACATTCTGGAGCCAGCTCATCTGGGTGCTTTGGCATTTTATTCAGTTGCGACTGCCGAGTTATAATCTCTCGCCTCTTTGCCTTTCGCTTACCCGTGGGAGCGCTCCGGGACCTGAAACAGGAAAGCCACAACATACACCCAACAATTTTAAGCGGTGCGAACGGTCAGACTAAACCCACGTCCAGCCCGCCACACATTGCAGCGGGATTTGATTTATAGAACTGCGCAGCCATGAGTAACCTACACTGCTGCTTTAAAGGACTTCAGGGGGTCGATGACTGGGCGGCGGCGAGGAGCACCATGAGACCCTTTCGTAGCTGCCGTTCCAGCTGTTTGCTGTTGGATCGCGAGTTGGATGGCTGTCATCTGAGGCAGCAATGATACAGAGAGCAAACGATAATAATATTCCCACGTATACCTTTACACCATCTTGTAAATATGCAGACATCTGTTACGCAGCAAATCTAGTGGGGATTTCGCAGCAGTAGGATATTGCACCCGATTAGAGATTCACATTTTCTACCAACAGGGATACATATTCATTCTCTGGAGTGTGGATGCTGAATAATGCGACTTCTGGATATTTGCCTGATAACTCACTTGTGTTGGACGCGTCTGAGAAAGAAGATAGTCAGGCAAGTGCCCCAATGTGCCCTTAGAAACGTTCATCTCCTGCAGCACGAAACACGTTACAAACCCCAGTCAAATGCTCCCGATCAAAGAAATCTACTCAAGTGTCGAGCAAGTTTCGCAAGGTGTGCTAAAGGGGGGAACGGAGGGGGAGGGGCCTTCTTGTAGCTAATGGTGCTATTCTTTATCTGATGCGAAGCAGGGCTGATGCGGCAACGCGTGTTGAATGATATGGGGAAAAGTAGAGACTCGTGCACTGTCGTAACTGCAACATCACTGTACCTTGAGCTGTTTGCATGCCCTCTTCAGCACTTCTCTATCCCTAGGATTCCTTTCAAAAAACTCCTTAAGCTTCCTTGAATTCAGCAACTGCTGCTGCAAGTCTCGTGCAACAGCCGCAGCAATGGCACGTTTTGTGATACCTCGCCTCACATCCTCAACTCTGTAGCGGAAGCATTCGACGTCTTGCAGTTGCAGTGACAGCGGCGTGAGCGCTGAAAAACAACAGAAAGACACAAGAGCGCATTGCTAAAATATCGTGTTTTCTTATGGTGTTCAAATGCTTGTCCATGGCATACACAAGCACAAACATGCTGGTGCGCGTGACCAGCAAAACTAACAAAATATAAACCGGCCACACTGGCCAACAAGCATCGACGCAGAGAAGCACAAAGGCTCTGTTCTGAGACCGGAACATCCCCGTTCTCGAGACTGCGTTGTACGAATTCCGAGAAATAGACTCACTGCTATCCCCTAGTGCCCCTGTGGCCTTTCTCATGGTAAACATTTGTTGCAGAAGAAATTGCTGCTGTTCCTGAGATGTATCTATAAGAGTGACTGCAACTCCCGCTGCGCCTCCACGACCAGTCCGACCAATTCTGCAGTTCGTCACAACAAGCGAAAATAGCAAGGAATTAACAGTTTCTTCATTAAATCTGAGGGTCGTGGGCGCCCAAGCGAGCCAGGTGGAGACAAAATCAACGTAGTGTGCTTGCAGCAAGCAAACACGAACAAACACTACGATGGTCTAAGATAGCCCCTGCAGACCTGTGAATATACGACTTCAAAGAGTTCGGCGCATCGAAATTAAAAACGCAAGCGACGCCCTGTAGGTCGAGACCTCTATGTCCAGCGAACTCCGCCTCCTTGGTCTGTAAGCACAGTCAGCATGTGCCTTCTAAACAAATGCAATAGAATTTTGGTAGAGTTGGAGCACGCAAATGAAATGGCATGCGCCACATACAAGTCCCCAATTCAATGGATCCAGAAACGGTGCTAAATGGCATTATTTTGAGCAGTGAGGCGTTCTTGCTACGCGAACAAGTAGAGGCGTAACATACGCCCAGGAAAAAGCGCTACATGCGCAAAACCATTTCACAATTTAATGCGGCCGCAGGAAGTTTGTTCACCTTGGATGCGTCTTCTCGTCGCCGTTTTCGTGTTTGCTGGTTACTCACAGAAGCCTCAGCAGATTCAGGGTCATCTGGTTCTGTTTGAGGGTTGTCTTCTTCCATGTATTGTCCGTCATTCGTAATCAGAATGTCGATAAGGCCTTGATTGAACGCCTGAAGGAAGAAGAACAGACGCACCGAAGAGCGTTGCCCCCGTATAATGGGGATGCACAAGCAGGAATACGGTTTCTAGGGCATTTCTGAGTAGAACGCTAATTAACTAGTACACGTCATTGAGCTTCAATTTTGTACATCAGAAAATGTTTCTGTGTGAGCACCGTTGCCGTTGCAGTCTTTGATATAACAGAAGATGTTGAAATGAACAAGGGGATTTGTGCTGACCTGAATCTGTTGCTCGCGAGCCGCTATTGGTAAAGTAGGACTTAAGACGCCGCTGGCAATTCCAAATCGGTCAAGGAAGAGGCGCAATGCGTATACACTGCAGTTTATAAGAAACAACACACTCCAGTGTAGTGTATTATGCAGGTGTAAGGAGGAAACGAACGGTGTTCAGTGCATTCGGAAACGCAGCAGTCCGACATTCAGAGCAAATGACTTAACGCATGAAGTGTTCGACGAGCTTCTTGTATATATAACAGGCTTTCATGGCTGCAAAGTATTATATTGTCTATAACTAGGAAAAACCAATAGTGTAATATATATCTCATATTTTGACTGTACATTATCATACAGCTTAGTAGAAGTTCATTTAGACTTTGTTAAGCAACTTACTTCGAAACGTCTTTGCAAAAGACTAGGCACTTCAGAGGAACAAGACCGAGACGAAGAAATGCATACGCCACCAGCCACTTCTCTGCTTCTGATGGGACTTGAAAATAGAACTCGCCAATGGGGTTCGCTCCACCGGTACCTCCCGGTGTTCCCTCTTCCTCCTCAATTCGTATAATCAACGGCTTGTGCAGCATCAAATTCTGTAGCTGGGAAAGCTGCAGAAAACGCAGTCCATGCACGCAACCCCAGCGTATGAGTCATGCAACATAAACCCTCATATAGCCAGAAATACTATCTTACAAGGACTAACCTCTTGGTTTTGGGTTGCAGAGACTAAGATGGTTTGGTAGTGACCCGCTGCTGTTGATGGTAAGAGCTGAAGAAGTCTTTTGGTATCCTTCTCGAAGCCAAAAGCAAACAGAAGGTCCGCCTCATCGACGATCAGCATTTCCAAAAACAACTGCATATCAAACCGATGCTGTTGCTGTCGCAGACTATCCAAGTATTGCAGAACGCCCGTCGGGGTCCCCACCATCACCGTGGGGGGGCCTAACAGCTTTCCGGGGCCCCCAGCTGGGCTGGCCGTATGCGAGACAGTCANACCATCACCGTGGGGGGGCCTAACAGCTTTCCGGGGCCCCCAGCTGGGCTGGCCGTATGCGAGACAGTCACAACGTCCTTAGTATACTTCAGAAGAGACGTCAGAACATCATAAACCTGTGAAAAAAAACAGCCAACAGCAGCGGCTGGACCTTCGGCTTACAAGTATAGTAAATACATTCCGAAAAAGATGAATTCATGCTTTTTTTACTGCACTCTCGCGGCATAAAACCACAGAGATTTCACAACTTCAACTGGTGGCTACCATGCTGCTACCTGCGTATTCTCCTGTTCCTCTCTATGATAAGGGTTTCTCCCCGCATATTCAATGCCTATGCTTCTTGTGCTTCGTTTACACCCACCTGAATGCAGAGCTCCTTCGTCGGAACCAAGACCAGAGCACAGAGGGGGGGAAGCTCGGCAGTCTCTCCCCTCTGTTGCTGCTGCTGCTGCAACTGCAGCAGCCGCTGCAGCAACGGCAAAACGTATGCAAGTGTTTTTCCGCTGCCCGTCCTACCCTCAATTAACAAATCTCTGCCGTTGAGNACGGCAAAACGTATGCAAGTGTTTTTCCGCTGCCCGTCCTACCCTCAATTAACAAATCTCTGCCGTTGAGAGCGAAAGGGATAACCTGTGACACAGGACCAAACACCTTGAAGAAAGGATAAATGAAGCAATATGTGCAGCATCAACATAGTAGAAAATACAGCTGTTTCTGTTTAACCCTGCAAACAGAGATGTGCACACTTTCCTACAAAATATTTCCGTGCAAGTTGGGATTTGCTGTTCAACTGAAAAGTATGCATCATCGAAAGCACGAGGTGAAAGCAGCCACAGCAGCTTCAACAGAAACTACCCCCACTACACCATCAGCAGCAGAAAGCAGCAGCTGGGTCACCTTAGACTGGACATGTGTTGGATGTTGGAGCTTTAGGTCATCAATGAGTGCCTTGGTAAGCCTTCTGTCTAAATGTGTCGCTGCGAAATCCTTAAAGCTTTGAGATGAATCGATAATTTCATTCTGTCTATACACAATAACCTCTGATGCATTTTCTTCCTTATTTGCTGCTTCTTCTGCATCTGAAGCGGCCTGTTCGTCTTCTGATCCTGTTTCTTCTGCTTCGGTGCCTGCCTCTGCCGACTCCTTTTCTGCTGTTGCTGCTGCTGTTTCCTCTTCGTCGGTTCCTTCTGCAGCAAGTGAGCTCTCTGGCTCACAGGCCACTACACCTCCAGCATCCTTCTCTTTAGTTGCTGCATGCGCTTTTTTGGATTTCTTTTTTTTGGTAAGCGGTTTCTCTGCATCTACTTTAGCAGGTTTGTGAGGCTCGACACAGGGATCCGACGAAAGGCCAGTTGGAGCCCTCTCTACGTTGTCAGAGTCTGACGGAAACGTCTGCTCTTGTTCGCATGTGTTGACTTTCCTTTTTTTGCGAGATTTCTTTCCCCCATCATCTTTCTTACGAGCTGAATGGCGGCCCAGATGCGGGGCCGCCTCGGGCGCCTGAGAAGCCGTCATAGCGCAAGAAAAGGCATTACCGCCGGAGCAAAGAAGCTAGTGAATAGGTGTACTACAGTTATCCTCGTTGAAACTTCTGAATGAGTTGGTTGCCGCCTTGGAGCTGGCGCAACGCCTGGAGACTGAGGATGACT